TATAAAAAAATTCATACCTTATAATTCAATATTTTTTCATCCTCACTTTAATTAAATAATAAAAAATAATAAATAAATATTAAAAATTATTTTTTTCATGAAATTATCTTTGGGTAAATGAGTTTTATGAGTGGGTGTAATTTTTTTTTGAATTGCTTAATTAGCTTTTAAAATATGACTAAAAACGCAAAAAGTGAATTTAGCATTAAGGGGTCCAAACTTTGAATCGCTCTCCTGCCCAAACTATGGGGACCACATTTCCCAGATTGCGGCTACCCCCTATATTTTGAAGATTAAGAATTCAAATATGTAAAAAAAAATATATGTTTATTCAGAGAAAGTACGTTTTTGTGTCTGATTTCGTAACTTAATTAATAGTTAGCACTTATTAATTAGCATATTTGAGGTCACCCCCAGGAACCATTAAGATTGACAATTAGTTCGTGAAAATCCGATCATCAGAACGAAAGTTATTCAGGGTGATATCTTTTTTTTTGCGGACTGTATACATCATATTCAAATTTCATGTCAATTAGATGATTTCTTGTAGAGTTATGACAAAAAACGCACTTGTTGCTTAAGTTTTGCACACCAGTGTACTTTCTGGTTCAAAACCTATTCCAAAAAATTTTTCAAGGTGAGTAGGTTTTAATGTTGTCATTTTCCTGTCTTCTTGAATTCATTAATAACTTAAACTACATAGATTTACCTGAGTTATTTCAAGTAATTCTGTTGTTTTCTGCGGAACGTAAACGTCTTAGGCCGAAATATTAAATTAAAGTAAAGTTAAATGCTATATAATGACAAATTGTCATTATGCTGGGTGTCATTTTCCTGGCTTATGAATGCCAGGACATTGAAACAGTTACCAGAAAACTTTTTAAACAGTTGAATGTAAAGAGAGAAAGCAAATAAATATGCTTGAATGTAATCAAAGCTTTTTTTTATTTAATGATTGATTATAATACACAATTTTATTCTGTACATATCAGACACAAAAACATTTTTGATTCTTTCTACAGTGGATAAAAGAATTAATTTAAGCAATTCATGGTCCATCTAACGCAAAGGCTTAAGTTGAGTTACTTACTATTCGCTTAAAATGACTGTTTTCTTAACTTCTAAGCTAATATGTCATTTTACTGGCATTCAAAATTTGGCGAATTTCTATTTTTTTTTTTCTCGATTAAATGTCAATAAACTACACTGCTATCTGTAAGATATATGTACAAATATGTAATATATATGTAAGATAATGTCAATAAACTACACTGCTATCTGTATTAATAAATGTAACTAAATAAATATACAAAAAAAAATTTAGATTAATTTGAAGACTTTAAATTTGAAGAAATTTTTTGTTCCGAATTGCCATGTTTCCAAAGAATCACTCTAATATTTTTACGGTAACGTCGCTTTACTATTAAATCAAAGAAAGATGAAACAAAAATAATAATATAATTACATACAACAATATAACAATGGTCTGCTCTTATAGACGGATCTAAAAGTACACCATTTCTTAACAATAATTATTTTTTTGTGATACATTTGATCTTTTTCATTTCATTAAGTTCATCTTCTTTTAAATATCTTAAACTACAGTCCGCTTACCATAATCGTCTGGTTGGTTGATTTATTTACCCATTACTTCCAAGTCGAGTTCAAAGCAAAGACATTTTAGAAACACGAGATACATCAAATTATTACCTGATTGTTTCCCGAATAAAACTGAAACGTGATTAAAAGCATTTATTAGCATCTATGATAAAATTTCATTCTACAATTTGGTGACCAGTGCTTATAGGGAGCAAAATGTAAATATACCTGTCATAGCCAGGTCCCGATTTACGTATCTCAGGGCTTTTTAAGCACGAAGTCACGTGTGGGTCTTCTAAAAGCGTCGACAAGCTTCAGTTAACGTGCATGGTTTGTAAATCACAATATCGAAGGATAACATTTTAGACAATAATTTGTAAACCATATTTGGAAGCCCGTCATATAAAAATTTAACATTTAATTTAACTAAACTTTGAGAAAAATACTAAAATTAATTGATAGAGAAAGAATTGTTGGTGAAAATGAAGAAAATTGTCTTGGAAGATAGTTGTACTAAAGACCTATCTAATTGCGTTATTGTGAAAACATATATTATTGTTTTTTTACTAATAAAATTTTTAAAAAAGAAAGAACAATTATAAGCCCTTACAGGTAAAAGATTAAGCAAGTTAAAAAAATAAAAAGATTTTCTTTTGATATGTATCTTGGGAGTGAGGGCTTCTCACAAATTGGTAGTCTTCGCCATATGCCTCGAATTCCCTCTCGTAAATTAGTCCTTGTTCATAGCTAAAATTTAAACCTTCGCCATCTTTGTCGAGAGAAAACTTTTTATCTTATAAGCCATCTCAACTTTTCCGGGTTGTCTAATAAAATTTTTTACGTAATTGCATAAATTTCTAAATGAAAATATTTTTCTCGCGATGACTTGAAAAGATAATAGATGGAAGCTGTTTGTATGGAAAGGGATGGAAAGAAAAACTGAAACAAACTGTATTATAAGTTGGAAGGATGGAAAGGATAAAAGCGAATAGTTCATTTCAACAAAGTGTTTTATATTGTTTTTTAATAATATCCATGTATGTTCAGTAATAAAAGTTTTATTCATTGTAATTATTATTAATTTAAAATGAGTATTAGTCGTGCTGTTGCGATTTTTAAGTAGAATAAAAGAAGCATTCGTGAAGAGTAAAACAAGGAAGCATTGATGACATTTATGAAAAACGTACCATTTAGGAATGCGTAGGAGACGTGACATTATACATGTTGTTTTTTAAAAGCATGATTATTGTTGTTTTTTTTTAAGTTTTTCTATTGTATGCATTTATTTCAAGGGGAGATTTCCGTATCGTGATCTGTGGCAAAATAATCGCCAAGTCTTCCGGGCGGCGGCCCGCGTGAAACTAAAATAAACATCACAGAAAGGGACCAATTTGAAAGGTATAACTCGTAACCAACCCCCGGAAATGATTGCATGTTTTTTTTTTTTTTTTTTTTTTTTTTTTTTTTTTTTTTTTTTTAAATTTGCAAGTTTAAAACTTATTTGGCACCCTGGCTTTTGTAGTTGGCATGACAGATCACTATACGGAAATATCCCCTATTTCATTCTAAAATCTTTTCTTTCAATGACTCATCATTGACTAAAATTTTAACATTTTTAAAGAGAAATTAGGGTAAATTCCTAGAATAGCCCACTTCTTGGCTACTTTTTGAAATCTCGCCAAGTTGGCCATCATCACGGGGATCAACGTTGCTTTTTGATTATTAAAAAAAACTCATTAGTCCATTTGCTCGCCATGTTCAACAGCCACTGCACAATAAAAATGAAATAATAACGGTAATAAATGATATAACTGCTAAAAATGAAATAATAACGATCATTCCAACAGCAAGAGATCAGAAGCATAAACGGTGAAAAAATAAACCCTTTTACCCTTTTTCTAACGAAATCCTACCTTCTCGTAGGTATACATATCAAGCAGCCAATCAGGTTTAAGAATTTTGGTGGCGTGATCGGACGTTCAAAATAATCTCTCCGAAATATATTTCGGAAACCTAGTTTGGTAAGATTTTAAAAAGTTGCGTGTCGAGATTTTTAAAAACGTCACGGGCTGGGCTATTTTAGGACCCATCCAAAAATTAGTTTTAAGAAATTTAATAATTGATTCAGTTTCCTAAGATTTTACGATATAACCCGTTTCAAATGGGTTACGTTAGAATACATTTTAAATTGATAACGCTAGAACACATTTCAAAAAGGTTGCAAACGAGCGGTGCGAGCATGGTTTGTAAAGCAAACCTTATAAGATTGCACAGCAATTTTCAGAGGATAGGGAGCGTCAGTGAACAGCTGATGGAGCCAACTAATTTGATTTATATTCATAACTTCATTGTTTTACTTAATATTTTTCTTTAATATTAACATACCATGATATTTTGAACAACAAAAGCTGCTTGTTCTCCAGCGACGAGAGAGTTCTGAGCCGCTCCTCCTGGATCTGGTGTGTTGCCCCATGTCCAGTCGACGAGAATAACGTTGTAGTCGCCTCTTATAAAAAGTTGCGTTTTTATTTCCTGAAAAAGAAATTCTTTTTTAATTTCAGTAGATAAAAAAGTATAAGAGATAAAAAAAGATAAACTTTCTTAATACATTGAGCAATGGCTATGAATGCAAATACAGAGAGTTACAGTTATTAATATAATGCTACGTTTCCATCAAATACACAAAAGAAAAGCTTAAGTTAGAAAATGAAAAAAAAAATACGGTAAAAAGATTCGTAACTCATCTGGCTGAATTTGCTTAGACATAATGCAAAAAACCTTTAAAAAGCTATTTACTATTGGTTTTCACTACACTGTTAGAATTTTCCTACTAAAATTACGGTAAAATAACCGGCAGCAGTTTGCCCATCCATTTAACCATTAAGTTTACGGTGAGGAACATTTTTTCCTATTCGGTTTTGCAACCGCTTACTACTAGTATGGATGTAAGGCCATGATTACAAAACTATATGGTTTTTAACCATTTACAACTAGCATAGTTTCAAAATCCTAAAAAAGAAATTTAACTGGACATAAGAGTTAGGCTTTACATTAGGTAATGGGCAGTGCAAAGTGCAGGACACCGGATACTCTTCATGTGTTGAAGGAAATGCTGATGCGAACCCAAATTCTGTTATTCATGAAACTAACACATTGGCCCTCGCGGCTATAATATGTAGGCAGTTGCAAGGAACTAAGTGGCTTTATTAGGTTGGCTTAGTTGGGGTGATAAAAGTCTTGTTGTCTAACCATATTTGGTGAAACCAGTTAATAAACGGTTTATCTCACAGTTAAGAGTTTGATTACCGTCTTATTTATGGTTATTTGGCTGTTTCGCTTGAATATGGTAAAATAACAATTAAATAAATTGTTACTTAACAATTTTTTCTGATAAATTTTTAACAGTGTGTTCTGGACTTATTGAAAAATGATAAAAATAAGGCAGGCTAATTGTGTTACAAATTGATATATTTCTTATTAACCTAGAGGTACATGTTCTCACTGATATAGGATTAAAGTGCCAGGCTGATTTGAAAATGCTAGTGACTTTTCCAACCGGTTTGGCTTATTGCAAAATGAAGGAGTCCATGTGCAAATAATTGGATTATTTAATTTGTCTACGATATAAAACACGCTCATTAACATAACGGGTTTAGAAATTGTTATTCATTACATAGGAGAACGTGTTTAGGTAATTTATATTTCTCACTATTGTCCCGTTTTCTGTACTTTTCTTTAATTCTCTTTGAAAAAATTATCCCAAAATCACAAGTGTTCAGAATTATGAACCAGTTGCATAATAAAATTTTTCCAAAGAAAAAAAGAAAAGACCGCATGTAAGTGCAAGTTAATTAAAATTGAAGCTGAACCTAAAAATTTCCCATGTCTTAAAAGAAAAAAATAAGCCCCATATCGACGAAAGGTAGCCACATTTCTTAAAAAAGGATGCAGGTAATTTTGACAAAGACTGTGTGTCAGTAATACCAGCAGCAGTAATTTATCCTCTATGTTAATCAATGCATAACCTTGTACGTTATACTTTAAAAAATCAATAAAAAAAATCCCACTTTCTTTAAATTAAAAACCTATGTTATGTGAAATTTTGGTCAGCCTGTAAGTTGCACTTTTTGCTTCGATTGGTTGTTTCTTTCATCCTCTTCTTATAGTCTTTAGTATTGGCTGGCTTTTTCCTTTTATTCAATATTCTAACAGTCCACTTCTCTTATTTGGAATTAATTAGTTCCCGGTTCTGCTTGCGAATAGTTATCTACTTTAATGACTTATCCGTTGCACCTTTCAAATTGTGCTAAATAAGTAAGCAAAATTTATTTCTTACATTAAATAAAGGGAATTATAATTTCGATTAAAGTGTTAAAGATCGAAATCCTGTTTAAATGTTACCTATAAACTAGTTGCATTTATAATTAAAACGATTTGGTTTTTCTAAAAATAACTAATTACAGTTTTGTGCCCATAGAGATTGTTAAACGTAATAGCTAAGCCTAATCGCAGTGGTAGGAAGCTAGTTTTGAGGGTTTCATTTTGGTTGTTCAGATTGCTCACGATTAGCGATAAAATAATCACTCTACTTTTATTTTCTTTAAAGTTAAAGGTTCATGGCAAGATCCTAACAACTACTAATGTCTTGAAAGAGAGAAATAGCCCTATATTGGTCCCACTCTCTATAATCTCTTTATAATCGCCTCTCTATCAGTTGCTTCATGACAGGAGGGACGCTCCATCTGAAACGCTTAGCTTTGTATTGTTTAATTCTGATGAATTAATTAAGTTCATGAATAAGTATTAATGCATGTGCAAAAAATTACTTTGGAAGCAATATTGCTGGAATAGCAATAATAATAGCTATGTTTATTCCTATGGCGATCAATTTTTTGTGCACTAGGTGTTTTGAACTGATATTATTTAACATGAAATATTTTATTTGAGATACAGTGCTTGGAAATCTTATGTGAAATTTGAGTGTTTGTATTCTGAATTACCGATAAACATGAATTTTTTATATTCAGTTTCAAAAATTTGTTTAATAGCAATATTAAAATAACGAATGTGTAGAGTGTTGAAATAGTAATTTTATGAATAATTTAGACATTCTTTTTTCAAAGTCGCGTTTTGGTGAAATATATTCCCCAACTTCAACTGAGATACTAAAGTATTGACCAACAATTTAATTCTGCGCAGGAAATAAGATGGCGTCAGAATGACGTTGCGGGTCTAGAAGTTTTCGAGGATTTAACGTCTGTGGTGTTAAATCCTCGAAAACTTCTGAAGACATTTTTTATTCATATCCCTTATAGGCTGATCAGAAAATTGGTTTGTAAAAGTATGCTCCGGATTTTATCACTTAGTTTCAAATCCTCGAAGCTTATTTTCCTTTTTTTTTCTTTTGTCTCTCCATTGTTCCTCAATGTGGTCTTCATTATTAAACATCTAAAAATCACAAATGAATTTGGAGCTTACTCTCTGCCAAGCTGTTCTACAGAGCCCATCCAAATAACCATGCGCAATAAGAACTGTCTCTACGTCTGGATCAAAATCAGTGTCTTTAGGTAATTCACCGCCACATTTGTGCAACGGCTCAGCTCTATCGGGGTTTGTTGGCGTGAAAAGAACAAATTGCGTTTCTGGTGGATTGTTGCCTATTTGTGCAGTTTTCGGATGATAGGCATCAGCTATAGAAATATCACACTCTTCGTAATGAACATTATCAAAACAATCTCCTACTTGTTTTCCAAGACCAGTGAAAATATCGTAAGCTGTAAATAAATGAATTGAGAGATTAAATGATGACTATTTTGATACCTTATGAATCAGTTAATTATCATTCAGCACAGGGGCCCTATTGCCAACTCATCGAAATTTATTCCGCTCGGAAATGATTCCGATCGGAAACTAGCTTTCATGGGATTGCCAATTTCGTAAAACCCACTTTGCCGTAACATGAGCATATCGGAATCCGAAATCGAAATCACCATTCCTCAAGATTCCGGTGAAATTGGAGTTTGTAGGCGGGACTAACTTTGACCAATTAGAAAATTACTATAGTTATAATTTATTAATCTGGCAACGATATGTTTCTTTTCTCTTCTTCTATGCGAGCTAAAATTGCATTAACTTAGAACTGGAAGCTTAAAAATTCATACGTTTTACTTTAAAAAATGGCTTCCCATACAAAAAACAATATTCGCCAGTAATATCCACCACTGAATGCAATTGCAATAAAATTCCAGGGGGAAAATCAAGGTTGTCTATAATTATTTTCATTGCAAGCAATTATGGGATTAATTAAAACCGAAGGAAGGATATTTGCTTATTCAACCATAATTACTAGTTTGAAGCGTCTAGTTCTATTATAATGCAACTGTAAATTTGTTAAATTTTCCTATGAGAATTAAAAAAATAAATCTTTTTCATCAAAATAATTATTCGTAGCATTTATTATGAAGAAATTTGCCAAATCATTTCTTAACGTCCGCAAAAGACTATCTACCCTGCTAATAAATTGACCTCAATCAAATGCTCTTCATTTTGTTTTGTTTTAAAAAGGAAGAAAGATAAAACAACTCATAATTTATGTAAATATTTAAACATTGCTGCCTTTATGTTTTTCTTTTAATTTTTATTTTATTATTCTTTTTAAAGAAAACAATCATATTTTGCGTTACACGTAAAAGGAAACCACGAAAATTTCTTTCAGATTGCTTGACGCTTAAAGAGTTCAATGTTCAGGAATCGTAATGAATTTTTTTTACATTAATGAATCATTTTTTAGCATCTTTGACAGACAGCCAATTGTATTTGTGGATATAACGAGATGCTCTTTATATTTTTTTTATTTATCTTTATAACTCATCCCAAAAATCAAAGTAACTCGCAATTTAAGTATCGGCGAAAAATTATGTTTATAAAAGTTACAAAAATAATTTATTTCAACCATGATTAAGATGAAATTAAAATGATCAAATTTTGCGTAACACGCAAAGAAAAACTACGAAAATGTTTTTCAGATTGCTTGGCGGTAATTGGATTTCAACTAAATGTTCATCATTATCTCAATGAAATTATTTTTTTATAAGCAATCATTTTTTATTATTAATCAGGCCTAACCGTTGTGGCTCAGAAAATCTGGAGTCTCCTTGAGGTCAGGCTAACCGTGGGAGGTTTTCGTGCTTTTCCTCTCCATGTAACGGAAATGAGGGTTAGTTCCATCAAAAAGTCCTCCACAGAGGCAAATTTCACTCAATACTTGATACAGGACTCTCCTTGTCTTCTGAATTGGATTTAAAATTACAAGACTGCGGAGTTGAACATTAGTAGTCGTAAACACAAAATTAGGTCGGCTGTTCGACGACGGTTATAAAATTATGAAATAGATTGGGTATCATCTTTCTGAATATAACAAAAAGCTCTTCTTTTTAACTCAATCTGTAAAACAAAATAAGCCGCAATTTAAGTATCGAAATACAATTATTTTTATGAAAGCTGTAAAAATACCCTATTTTAAATAAAATTAAATTAAAATTATCAAATTTTGCGTTACGCACTAAGAAAAACTACAAAAATGTTTTTCAGATTGGCTTTAATCGGTAATAATGACAGAAAACAGCGCCATTTTGATCACTAAAATAAACAAATTCCTATCGGAATTTAGATTTCGCTTGCTCTAAACCTGCCGGAATCGGATTCGTAATTATTTCGCATCGAAATTTAGTTCCGAGCGGAATCAAGAGCTCGTAATACGGCATAACTGACATTCACGGATTTATGACGTCACGAGAGCTTCATTTCGATCGGAATCAGATTCCGTGAAGCTGGTAATAAGGCCCCAGGGGCCCTATTACCAACTCATCGAAATTTATTCCGCCTGGAAACGATTCCGATCGGAAACTAGCTTTCATCGGATTGCCAATTTCGTAAAACCCACTTTGCCGTAACATGAGCATATCGGAATCCGGAATTGAAATCGCCATTCCGTACGATTCCAGTGAAATTGAAGTTTGCAGGCGGGGCTAACTTTGACCAATTAGAAAATTATTATAATTCTAATTTATTAATCTGGCAACGATATGTTTGTATTCTCTACTTGCATGCGAGTTAAAATCGCATTAACTTAGAACTGAAAGCTTAAAAATTCATACATTTTCAACAATTTAGTGTTCTAAAAGCCAAGTTTGTGTTTATTTGAAGTATAGAGAGTAGTGTAGAGTGAAATTACAACGTAGTATTTTCAAATGGCTTCACGTACAAAAATTAATATTCGCCTCCAAACAATGATTGTGGAATACCTAGAAAACAATCCAGATTAAAATAAAGGAAGCCTTACCGGCATATCTGGCGTAATTACCACTATAAATATTAAATACCAAATCACTACTATATAAGACATGTTAACTTGCATCCATCTTAAAGTACCATAAGATAGTTGAAGGATAACGCAGTCGATAGTAAAATCTTCACACATGCATATTTCAAACAATATAGGAAATTCTAATAGCTAACTTTGGTAATTCCTTTTTTTAGCTAAGATTCTATTGTTTTTTGTACATATTTTTTTTATGTAGCTTTTGTTATTAATTTCCACAATCCGATATTATTCATTTCCACTACTGAATTTCGCCTATGAGTAACACCATTTAAAAAAAAACTAATTTCCAATCTAAATTAATTTCTAAATTTTGTTGTCGGGATATTGGAATACCCAAAATCTTTTAAGCCGATAGATCTTTCTCTTAATAGTGTTTCGATCACTCTCTTCAGCAATAGCTGGCTGTATGACGGAAAACAGCGCCATTTTGTTCACTGAAATAAACAAACTCTTATCGGAATCTAGATTTCGCTTACTCTTAAACCTGCCGGAATGGGATTCGTAATAATTTCGCATCGGAATTTAGTTCCGAGCGGAATCAAGAGCTCGTAATACGGCCTAACTGACATTCACGGATTTATGACGTCACGAGAGCTTCATTTCGATCGGAATTAGATTCCGTGAAGCTGGTAATAGGGCCCCAAGATAAGAACCCATGGTATATCAGTGAAATAGTGCCATATATTGAGAATCTCTATTAGGGTTGTAGTAATGATATATCAGTTCTCACTTATATGAATGTCAGTTAGTTCTACCTTAATATCTAAGTGACATAGCTTTTGTTAATTAACTTTTAGCAAATTAATTTTTAACAAATTGATCTGAATTTCATAATGGATTTTTAACTCAGATCGGAGTACAAGACCATAATTCCACTGTATATGAGTGAACATAAATATTGCCATTGTAAATAGGGGAAACTCTGCTGATCATTGAAGAGCAAAATCATAATTCTATGTTGCATGAGTTACTAGGACCTTTAATAATAGAATTGTAATATTAATTATCATGCAAGGGCAACTTTTCTTAACTGCCCTTACATGATAATTTGATGATAATTCTATTTCTTTCAAATGTTTTTGTTGAGTCGGTAAGTTCTTGTTGATGTTTCGTTATTTCAATTTATATTCTGTTCTAAAGCATAAATATCGCTATAAGAAACATTTAGTTTCATATACTTTTTTAAAGGCGAATTCATTGACGTCCTCAGCAAACTTTACGGAATTATTAACGTTGATTTTATTTGTAATAACCTAACATAGGAAACTAACGATAAATAATTAATATAAGTGAGCAATAAAACTAATTTTTGATTGATTAGAGCTACAAGCTAGTTAATCACTAATATAAAAATTTTATTAAATTTAATGAAAAACTCTTTCTTTGGGATGTAGTGCGTGAGCCGGTTGTCAGAAGTTGTTTTAAAATAGACAGCAATCAATTACTTGTAATCGCGACTACAATTTTCATAAATTTTGATTACAGCTATAATCGTGATTACAATAATTGATTACAGTAATCAATTACTTGTAATCTTGATTACAGCTGTAATCAAAATTTTGATTACAACTGTAATCATGATCCCAAGTAATTGCGATTTCAAGTAATTACAACAATACTTATTTTACTAACGATCGAAAAATTTGGAAATGTAAGGAAAAAAAATTTTATACCACTATACGAAATTTTAAATAACAAAATCAAAAGTTTAAAGAGAATCTGTCTAATAGTATCTGAGGCACAAGAATTTAAAAATACGGTCTTTTTGAGATTGCGAAATATGCAAAAAGTGACATAAACATTAAAGGGTTTAACCTCTCTCTCTCAACCATATTGAGACCATATTATCTAGATTGCGCCTATCTCTTTATTTTAAAAGACAAAAATGCAAAAAAAAAAAGAGATTGAATAATTATTTTAAATAACTTTCCTATACCCTTTTTTTCTGTAAAATTAATACTATTATTTTTGTTTTTTTAATTTCTTTGAAAAAAGTTACAACCTGTGTGTAGTAGAATAATTTTTAAAAAAATCAAAACAAACGTAAAAAAAAAGAGGGAATTAATTTTGAAGTAAAGGGATGAGAACAAATATATTTCCTTAACTTTGCGTCATTTGCTATTACCTTCTAAAGAAACAATTTTGCACTTTATTTATCTATTTATTGATGCTGATACATTACTATTTTTTGTAAAAATCTTCTTTTGCAAAAGTTACATCCTGTGTTTAACAGATTATTTTTTTTAAAAAAGGAACATAACGAAAACAAATGTTTTGAAAGAATATGATGAGACTATCAGGATAATTATATATTAATATATGTTTTTCGGAACTTTTTTCAGAAAGTTTACCATATAAGGAATCACGCATTAATAATTAAACAGAGGGAGAAATAAAAATGTTATCGAAATCTTTCAAACCACTTGTGAGGAAGATGGTTAAAATATCATTGAAACCAGTTTGATTGCTTAATTAAAGCAGAAGGCGATTTTATTAATTACATTTCAATTCCTTTCTGTTTTCTCTGCAAATAAAATAAGCTCGAATGTTTATATCCCGCCTTCACTGGAGCGCTAGACTTCGGTAGCGTTTCTGTTTTTCGTCGCTTAATACTATTTTGCGCCCCCTAATAGTGTGTTTTTCTTTTAAATTTTTTTAACAAGTCTTGTAATTATACACATAAAGGGTTGTCATCACGGAAAAATCTGTATTCAACATTAACCCCTTAACGATCGGTTAATTTTCAAGAAAACAGTCATAAAAGTGCCTATTTTTTTACTTTTGTATTTGTATTGCGTATTTGATTAGTATTGCAACTAGTTTAAAATAAACTAACTATCTACAATTACCTAAAAAATATCCTGGTACTGTCATCTGGTGTGTAAAATGAGAAATAAAATGTTTTCCGGGCAAAAGAAATGAATTAGTTTTATTCTTATTGGCGCGTTACTACTGAACACTCCAGCCTGTCAATATCACGGGAGCGAGAAATGCAGGGCGAAACCTCACCCCATCATTTTCACGGGAGCGAAAGGGAAGGGGTTAAACTAAATATATAATTCGAAACAAAATTAGCCACACGGGAATAAGAAATAAATTCTGTATCTTCAGAATCATCTGCATGTAAGAAACATCCCTTCCGCTCCCACGAATAGTAAAATACGCCCCATACAAATAAATCGATTTATTTTAAATTCTCTTTTGGCTCTTTTTCTTATGATTATGATACACGAAGAAAAAATCCTGGTAAAACTAACATACTGTATGGTACTGACATTTCTCGTAAAATAAACCATAATTCTAGTCAATAAAACCAAAATTTAAAGCATTTACGTTTTTTGTTTATTTATTATTATTTTCTTTTGTGAAAATGAAATCGACTAAATAATTTGAAAATGTAATCGACGAAATAATATTAATTTGACTAAAGATTTCTGTCTAACAAATTATGAAACAAACAAGTATTGAAACAGTTTTAAGAAAAAAAATTTAACAAAAGTACTCTAAGTACTATTGTTAAATTATTAAAAAGCGTCAAAAAATTGCTTAACTTTCTATTTAATTAAAAAAAATTATTTGTTTTAGATAATAGCTAATTTTCCTTAAAAATAAATAACGCTTCCTTTGTTTTAGTTTTCTCAAAAAAAGCAAACAAAATAAATGTAGGCTTTGTTTTAATTTTTTTGTAATTAAAAACGATGGAAGATTTATTGTATTAATAATAATAATAGACACAATACTTGCAATTTTCTATCAAATTATTATACTTTACTGCATAAAATAAATTTTTAAAAAAAAACTAATTTCTTATAACAAAGTAAAATATAAAATACGCTTATTAAATTGCATTGCTTAAAATGGAAAACAATAATTTTAAAAAAAAATCATTGAAGAATCTTTTTTTTATTCATATTTTCTTTTCATTAATAGATTGCGTCCAGAGCGAAAATTTAAGATAACAGCGATTGCGCAGCGATCGCAAAGTAACAGCTGAACTAAAAATAATTGACAAGAATTGTTAAATCCCGACAAAGTGACAAAGTAATCCACAACGAAGCGATCGCTGGGTAAATAGTTTACAAGATATGTTAAATCCCGACAAAATAAAATGCACAGCGATCGCAAAATAACGTAAGTCCAGCTGAAAATAATCTTCGAGAAATGTAAAGTCCCAAAAACAAAAATGGCGCGTAAAGAAATTAAGCATAGCGTTCCATAATTCAATGCTGATCCTCGCACGGAACCGGAAGTTCTGATTCAATTCACTTTTCGTCATTCAACATCACGAAACTAACACCGTCTTCATAGCTAGACGTTATCAACATCTCCGCAGCTAGACGTTATCAGCATCTCCGCAGCTAGACGAAATCAAAATCGTCTTCGTCAGCGAGGTGGCAGCGTTAGCGTAGGCAAGGATCCTCGTATGTATCAATATATGAGACAATCGTTAAACCGCGAGCTTATACCGACGACTTAAATCAGATTTCTGGTGCAACGCCTAAAACGAAAATCATTATACCGGCTTGCCGATGTAAGCGTTAAATCGATATTTCGCGATTAATCGATTTATCACCCAGTCCTACTCACAACCATTCGATCCATCATACTGCGGGAGAAAACGGGTTGAGATCAAAAGCTGGATGACACACATTTTAAAAATTACTGTCAGCATTAAAAAAAAAAAAAAAAAAAAAAAAAAAAAAAAAAAAAAAAAANGAATTTATTTTTCAATTGTCTTACGTAAGAAGAATTCTTAGAATTAATTTAGTTATATTCCCATAAATATATTCATAATGCAAATTAGTTAATGGTTGAAATTTCATTAATAAGAATAAGGTTTAAAGTATGGCCAAAGAAGCAAAAATTGACATAGAAGCGAAAAACTTTCGAACACAATTTCGGCAGAACATAAGGGGATCGTATTTTTCCGGACTGCGCCCGTTTCATATTTTAAAGATTGAAAATCTGTCAAAAAATAAATGTTTATCAGACAAAATTAGGCTTTCCCAAGCAATTGCGTAACTTTAATGAACTTCCATATTTATTGACTCTAGATATGATATTAATGCCAAAAATGTTTTGCTTTATCAGAGAAAAATACCATCATTAGATCAAAAGTTATCCGAATTTTTTTTTTTGTTTTGCACATTTCGCTTGATTAGCACTAGTTTCCATTCTTAATTATTCTTAACGCTATACTTTAACATTTCTAAAAATAATTGCAATGACTATTTGAAAGGATTAAAATAGGAAATAGTTAATTTAAATGATAAAAGATTTAAACATAATATTGAAATTCATCTTTAAGCGAAATACATTATTAATTTTAACTACTTACTATAACAATGGGACAAGAATAAAAACATGCATATTATACAAGAAAGAGCAATCATTAACACGAAAAATAATATTCTGAAGGCAATCAG